CAAGGGTTCTGACAGCCCCGCCTTTTCTGGCCTCTGCACGGACAGCACATAAAGATATATGTACAAGCAAAACTCCCATATACATACAATAAACATAGTAATTTTTTTCAAAGATCACATATACTAGAATAAAAGAAAATGAACTCAGTTGCAAAAGATGTGAGTAACTCCAAATAGGTAGATTCACTCAGAACTTATTCATTTTTAATATAGAGTAAAATAACAGCATCATGTTGGCAGATGATATAACTTTCATGTTTTATGAAACATTTTCTGTAACTAATGATTTTCCCCTAGGCTACTAACAATTTAACAATGTTCATTAGGCTGGGGATGTAGCTCAGTAACAAACTTCCCACCCATCATGTACAAGACATTAAGTTTGATACCTAGCAACACCAATTTTTAAGTTAAATAATAATGATCGAGTCTATTATAACTAAGACCGCTAGTTCAATGCTGAAATTATTTCTAAATATGTTGTTTGCATTACCCCAGTCAGGCAGACTAGTTATCAAGAATAGAGTAATATGAAACCATGAATCAAGAGGACAGACAACTCGCATCCAAGTTCTAGCTCTGCCACTTACTATATTCTTAACTAATAAATAAGACGTTTTTGAGTCTTTTATTTGTAAAATGGAGCTGACCATAAAAGTACCTCACAGAATTTCCTTAAAGGCAAAGTTCTAAGACACAGGGAATGTGGCTTAGTGGAAAAAGTTTTCGCTTAGCATGCACAAAACTCTGGGTTGGATCCCCAGCATTGAAGAGGGAGAGCAGTACAGGCAGGTTATGTATGTGTATATAAAACTACATAGTAATTTCCAGGACAACCAGGGCTACACAGTGATGAGACTGTTTCAAAAGTAAATAAAAAATACTTTCTGCAGCACTTTCTACATTATTTTAGGACCCAGTATAATTATTGAGTTTTATGATTTGGATATGGTTTTATACCCCAAAGGTTATTTGTTAGAAGCTTAGTTCCCCGGTGTGGTTGCAGAAGGGGAGCGGCAGGAAAGACATACAAGTAGGAGATGCAGAGGTCAACTATCAGGAGTCAGGTCTTTCTCCTTCTAATATGTGGGTCCTATGGCTTGAACCCAGGTTTCCAGGCTTGATGACAAGTGTCTTTATCCACTGAGCTATCTCATCATCTGAACTGTGGAACTTTTAATGTTTTTGTTTTGTTTTAAGGTTTTTTAAATTTTGTATGTATGAGTATTTTGACCACATGTATGTATTGCAGCACATGCATACCTGGCATCCTAGCCCCCAGGTGGGTGTTGGGAATCAAACACAGATCCTCTGCAAGAGTAGCAAGTGCTTTTAACCCGAGCCATCTGCCCAGCCCTAGTGGTAGAACTTGTAACTCTTAGAAGGGATAATGCTGCTTCAGGGTTCCCTCAAGAGTAGACTGTTAGGGAATGTGAACCACACCCCAATCTATCTGGCTTTCCTTTTTATCCCATGATAACTTTCAAATACACTCTTACCATTGTGAGGTCATCACTAGAGTTGACCACAAGTCAGAGCCACATTTGTAATACTTCCAGATTCATGAGCTAAATAAAACTCTTTTCTTTACATATTGTCCAGCCTTGAGCATTTTGTTATAACAATAGAAAAATTACTAATACAAGGCTGGGCATGAAGGCATATGCCTTTAAACCCAGCATTTGGGAAACAAAACACAAGCAGATCTTTCTGAGTTTGAGGGAAGTTCCATGTCAACCAGGGCTACAACAGTGAGAACCTTTCTCAAAATATTTAATTAATTACCAAGATGAAAAGAAAACCAATTAAAGTTAACTGCAACCATCCAAACAAATGAAACAACCACTTAATACATTTATATTATTTATAATAAACAGCTCAAATGTAAAATACCAGAAGCATGATATATTAATTTGATTTAATATTACTGAGAAAACTGTAAACCACCAAAACATGGACACATTTATAAAAAGCAGGTATCAGAAGGAATCTAAGGCAGAATTTATTCTGATGATAGTTATGTAAGAAGCATGAGTCTTAGTACTATATTTTTAGCCGACATCTAACCAATTATACTAACAGTCATCCTGAGCATCCAAAGGGAAATATAAAGAGGAATTTGCTTCAAAATTTCTATAGTACCCTAAATGAGAATCCTTTTTAATTACCTAGATTTTTATTCAGGCATGATATCTATTAGGCTAAAAGAAAACTAATGACAGGATAGCTTCAATTTATATAAAAACATTTCTCTGAAGATAAACACAAGTTAGCTGATTTCACATACGTAAGTACCCATTTTATTTGACTTGTCTCATATATGCATATATTTATACATACAAGCCACAAATGGTTTAATTTTAAGATTTAAGTTCTTACCACAAAAAGGCAATAAAATTCAGTGTCAAAGACCATTTGAGTTATTTTGCTTATCTCCATGCCTATGAGTGTTACAATATTAGGGAGAGAGGAAGGAAAAGATATAATATGATATACTTTCATTGACTCATAAAATTCTGAGAACCTATTTTGTTAAAAAACACTTTCAGCAAAAGTTTACTAGAGCCATCTATATACTTGAGCTGACACATACTCATCTCAACTTTCTGAAATAGTCTGCTTCAAGAAGCCTAGATATTCTTAAATAGTAGCTTCACATCTCTTATTTTTTTAGGGATTCTTATAATGGAGATAATGGATGGGGCATAAAATGGTATATAAAGTTATATAGAAACATGTGTATTTGTATTTTCTGATTTAGGCCCCACCCTCCTCTAAACTTTCAAGGGGTTTCATGGCCTCAAAATAGGTTGAAAACCATACTGGATCTCACAGATTAATCTAGGAACAATAATTATACCCTAAGTTAAGTCATTTATTAAAAACAAAGCATTCCTTCCATAGAAACTAAGGTTCACAAACTTTATGGCTCTCCCAAGTCTTGCCAGATCCCTGGCATCCATGCAAATGTTTGAAATTAACTACTCCATGAAAAATACTGCTTGTCAATATATAACTCGCTCTGCAGCAACAGAAAAATAGTAGGATCTCTCTACCAAAACTAAGACTTGCCTTCAACAAATGTAATACACAGGTGTCCTGAACCTTTTTCTTTCAATATCTATTTTTTATTGTAGCTACAATCCCTATTTTTCACCTTCTTTGCTAGTTGAGTTACCAATCAACAAAATGCCCAATCCTTTTACATCACAGTCCCTGCTTCCACTCTCTCCAAACAAAACTCAGTTGAGTATAACAGTGGAAACAGCTTTACCCACCTATAGGAGCAGCCCTTTCCTCAGTCTGTAAATCCAAAAGGCATTTGCCCTCAGAAAAGCATCACACAAATTCCAAAGCCAAACTGTCTTAATCTTTTAAAGTAATTTTTAAAAAAGCCATGCTTCCTAGGAAAAGAAAAAGGCAAAACTTCAAATTCATATTTAAGGTTCTGAAATGAAACTCGGTCTAAAGTCCAAAGTTACAGAAAAATCAGAGACTGAGGAGAAAAAAGAAATCACGGCTATTCATATTTCAAATCAAGACAAAAAATTCAAGCTTGTTCACTCTCAGCTTCTTCACTACTTCCCGCTCTTAAAAAGTCTATCTTCTCCATAGAAATAATCAAACTAATCCTTTTTATGTTTTTAAAATTAATTTCCAATGCAGGCGTGATTTTTTAAACGTGATTATTTTAGGAAAAGACTAGCTCCATTCATAAGCTACATCTAAACCCGAGAAGGGAAATACGTTTTTCCCCTCAACCTTAAAAAAAAAAAAGGCAAAAAGTTGATGAAAGAACACTACTGCCACGTCTCCCCCCTCCCCCACTCACGTAGTGGCTATTCCATCCCTCCACAGCGCATTCCAAGGAAAAGTCCAAGAGCCACAGCTCTCGGAGAAACAGTTAAGTTGAAATTGCAAGTTCCTTTTAATTTTTTTCACATCAGTTTCTAAAACAGGACCCAGCAGCTTCCCCGTTCCTTTCGGTGGAAGGCTTTGCCCTATAACCAACGGTGCAAAACTCCAAGGGTCCTCATTCTGTGCGGTCCTCCGCTCAAGACGTCAGCGTCTCAAAATTGCATCTGTATTAAGTTCCCACTCTCGAGAAAGTCTCATTTTTGTCGTACCATCCGTACCCTCGCACTAAACATCCATTTGGGAGCCAATCACAAAGCTCAATTTAAAATTGTCACCCAACCCTGGAAGGTTTGACAATAGGACTGACTTTTCGACCCTACAGAGGGAGGACGAAAAAAAAAGGGGGGGGGTGAGTGAAACCAGAGGAGAGGGAAAGACGAAGGGAAGAGAGGGACAGAGAGACGATTCATGTGTCCTTAAGTGATTCACGGGGATGAAGACGGAAGGAAGACGCCAGCTTCCCCAACAGTGTGTGTGAATGACAGCGGCTTCCCGGCTCCAGCAACTAACCTCCCCGGGCTATGTCTAATCGCCGGGGCAGCACCGCGACGCGCTGTGCACAGACAAGTTCAGCTCTAACTTCTGAGTAGGTCCCACTTCCCAGCTCCCACTCTCCGAGGGTGAAAAGAAAAGAAAAAGAGAAAAAGGCGGAGGAGTGCCTCAGCCCCAGCTGCGAGCGCCGCAAGCCTTCTCCGTGGCCACATGCTAACCATCTGCGGCTGTGGCAGCCCAGACCCCGGCCCGCCCTCGCCTTCCCCCAGCTTTGTAGGGAGGACCAGGTACTGATGGCGACACGCGTCAAACAGGGAGGCTGGCTGCCCGGGATGGAACATTCAAGAAGGTCCTAGTCCCGGGGCGGGGCACAGGCTGCTGCAGCCCCAGCCAGAGGCAGGACGGGGGCGGCGAGGGAAGCCCGGCGAGCGGCAGGGAGGTTGGGCCTCGGGAGCGCGGGGCCGAGTCCCCTCGCAGAGACCCGGGGGCGGCGGGTGGGAAGGGCAGAGCCCCCGCCGCCAAGAGCGAAGGGGCTCCCGGCTGCCCGCGGGGACCCGCCATCGGTCCCCTAGGTCGGAGGAGCGCCTCACCTGGACAGCGGGCCGTGAGGGCGGCGACGGCTCGGGGCCGGTTACTCCTGTCGGGTCCTGTCGCCTGCGCTCGGGCCCGCTACCTCCCCGTTACCCTCAGCCTGCTGGCGGTGCCACTGGGCGACAGAGGGAGCCCGTCAGCCCTTTTATATCCCCAGGCTTGCGCCGGCGCGCCGGGAGAGGGGCGGCCGCGGCCCTCGCTACGTGCGCTCGGTCACACCCGCGCCCACGCCACTGCGCAGGCGCGCGCCGCCGGTCTCCCACCCACTCGGAGTCGCCCCGGCCATGGGAGTTCCAGGCCCAGGCAGGCCCACGCGGGGACGCAACGCGCCTGCGCAGAGCTCCCGCCACGCCGCCGTTACCGTGGTTACCACGGGGTTTCCCTCCCCCTCACCCCCAGTTCCCGTTCAATTTAGCGCCTTCACTTCAGGGTCAGCGTTGGGTCTCTGAGCGTCGAAGATGTCAGGACAGATGTGTCTGGAAAATTAGGAGAGGCTCATCAGAGTGTAGTGTCTACATCTGCAAAGGAATGCCGTATTGTTTATTATCTGTCTCCAAGAATGGCTGCAAGAATTAAATACGATAATGAAAAAGAACTTACTTAGCACATGCCCAGGATTTAGGGAGAAGTTGGATACTTACATAATCGGAGAGGGGTGGAGGTGCGCCAGGCTGTTAGGTTTTAAGCGCTTGCCTAGCATGGAAGAAGGCCTTAGGTTCTATTACCTACACCCACACAAACCAACGCAAAGCAAACAAGTGTCAGTAACCATAAAACCGTTCGGAGATGTGGCACAACAGCTAAGATTTCAGTTCCCAGCACCCGTGTTGGGCCCATCACAACAGTCAGTAACTCTAGCTCCACGGGATCCAACACCTCTGGACCTCCAAGAGCACCTGAATTTACTTACCCACACAGTACAACACACACACACACACACAGACACACACACACACACACACGCAGAGTTAAAATTAATAAAAGTAAATTTAAAAAACACTATTGAGCACACTATATGAGGCACTAAGTGTTGTTTGAGCTTAGTCATGGTTTTAAAGAAAGCCTACTTACTAGCTGAAAGTACAGACAATGTGGGAGATAATTTACCCCTTGTCAGTGAAAGAATAACTTCTCTAAGACTTGTTATTCATTAAAAATTGTAAAGTTTTCCTTGTTTGCTAAAGTGTGGAACTGATTGACACTTATCTGGGAGGTGGGGTTGATTATATAGATAAAGAGCTTCAGGCACCCAAAAGTAGTGATTTCTAAATTTGTGGTTCTGCAAGTCTAGTCAGGATCAACAAAGCCAAAATTACTTTTGTAGGAAGATTTTGATTCTTTCGCTATAATGACAACACAGCTGAGTTTTCCAGAGACCACAGCACCTTCGTAATAGTTTAAGGGTAGAGCATATCCCATCCAAGTCAGAAGTAAGAGAATTTACAGAAATCTAAACAAAAATACCACACACATCTCACTAATACTTTTGTTGTTGGTGGTGGTGGTTTTGTTTTTTTTTGTTTTTGTTTTTGTTTTTCGAGACAGGGTTTCTCTGTAGCTTTGGAGGCTGTCCTGGAACTCGCTTGGTAGTCCAGGCTGGTCTCAAACTCACAGAGATCCGCCTGCCTCTGCCTCCCGAGTGCTGGGATTAAAGGCGTGCGCCACCAACGCCCGGCTTTCACTAATACTTTTTAAATGTTTTCATTAAAATGTTATTCTTCTAACTCAATATACTTGTTTTAAGATGCATTAATAAAAGTATTCTACATGGTTTTTGAACTCCCACTACAGTAAATGCTGACAGATATGATTCATATAAAAGTTCCTTTGACCCTTAATTTGTTTTATGAGTCAAAGACCAAAGGATGTCTCCGACCCTGAAGTCAGTCAGTGAAACTTCACTTTCAGGAATTTGCCTTGGCAGTGCCCGGTTCTACGACCCTAGAAGGGATATTAGAATATGCTTATGGGACCATCTACTTTTAGAAACTTTGCAAAAAAGTAAGATATTTTTACTGTTCTCCCTCATCCTCAGTGACTTCCTCTCTGCCACTGTTCCTCTTGGCGATAGGTGTTGGAGTAGCTGGCATGCATCTAAAATTTTTTGCTAAAATTGAACTAGGGTTACATTTGGTTTGAGTTTAGTAAGGTTTATTTTTGTAGCCTGGAGCCTCTTTTTATATGTGGTTAGGATATTGCCAGCTGTCCCCAGCTTCCAAGAATACTCTTCCTACTCATTGTGCTAGTCCTCGCAGGATTATGAGAGAAAGGTGCAGAACCAGGCCTCTCTTACCGTTGTATGAATATATGCTTTGTTCTGGAGTCAAAAATGTATGATTTACTAGCATGTGTGATACTATTGGTTCAGACCCCAGCACTGCAAAAATAGCAATGGAAAGATGATGTGTGACAGATTGATTTAAGGAAACATGACGTTAATCTATGGCAATTCTCTCTCTCTCTGTCTCTCTCTGTCTCTCTCTCTGTCTCTGTGTGTGTGTGTGTGTGTGTGTGTGTGTGTGTGTTTATTTTTGAGTGTTTTTGAAGCAGGGTCTCACACTATAGGCTATAATTGGGGGAAATTACTATGTAGCTAGCCACAAAATTGTGATAATCCCCCTGTCTCAGCCCTTAAATTGGCAAGTTCCTTTTCATTTTTTTCAGATCCAGCAGCTTTTCCATTTCTTTCTGTGGGAGGCTCTGCCCTATAACCAATAATACAAAACTCCAAGAGTCCTCATTCTGTGCAGTCTGCCTAAAATGTGGCTGGGATTATAAGAACTGCCAGCAATTTAGCCTTGATAAATACTATTTTAAGTTAAAGATTTAATGTTTGTGAGTACTTAGTGTAAAAGGATGTTCTCTCCTGTTAGAATTTAAAGTGCTCTCCAGCAAACTAAAATGCTGTCCATTTGGAGAAATCTTATGTGCCCCATTTTTTCTTTTTTGTTAATTTATGTTTTACATTCCATTCCCAGTACCCCCCTCCCTCTTCTCTTCTCCCTCCCTCCACTCCCTTCTCCTCCCATCTCTGCTCCATGGAGAGTGTACGACCTCCCCTAAGAAGTCTACTAAGTCTGTTCCATCATCTTGTTGAGGCAAGATCAAGGCATCTCTCCACCCCCACAGTGCCCCCATTTTTTTTTTCTTTTGGAGACAGGGTTTCTCTGTGGCTTTGGAGGCTGTCCTGGAACTCGATCTTGTAGACCAGGCTGATCTCAAACTCACAGAGATCCACCTGCCTCTGCCTCCTGAGTGCTGGATTAAAGGTATGCACCACCACTGCCCGGCAATGCCCCCAGTTTTTTAAGTCATTAGATTAAACAAAATGTTGGAGATGTCTCCAGATTTAATGGCAATCCTAAAAAGTTATATGTCATTAAGAATATAAACAGGAGCTAGAGAGATGGCTCAGCAAATAAAAATCACTGGCTGCTCTTTCAAAGAACTTGGGTTTGACTCCTAACTCACACACAGTGGCTCACAACCATCTGTAAGTCCCAAGGGATCCAACACCTCCTTGGGCCTCTAAGGACAATGGGCATGAACTTTATGCACAGATTTGCATACTTTCTAAACTGTCTCTATAGAAACCTGGAACCAGGCGCGCAGGAAGGCTCCTCTCAAGGAAAGCTTCCCTTAACAAAATGGTGATCAGGAGTGGGATGATGAATTTCCACGCAAAATAACAAAAGCTTTAAAGGAATTTTAGAAACAGAAGAACGGAGAGAAACACAGATTTTGGTAGCAGCATTTTTCTCAGGTGTGCTCTGTTTTGCTAGCCACAAGCCGAGATTCACGCGGCTCGCTTACTGGAGTCTTCCTGACTCGGCATAAAAAGAAAAAAAGAAAATAGAAAAAAAAAACCCAACAAGGTTGTTTTAAGAGACTCTGCTAACGATTGAAAGGTGTGTACGTACAGCTGGAAGTGGCAGCTTTTGCTGGAGGTCAGCATGGACTGAGGTGGTAAGCTGGAATCTCGCTTACACCCGCCATCTTGACGGAAAAACCGGCAGTTTAAAACTGCCGTGGTTTTACAGATAAGACACGTGGCCAGAAAAACATAGAGATTTACTGTAAAGTCAGACTTGGATAAAGGAAAGCCTCTAAAGGTTTACAGTCTGTTTAAAAATATACGTGTGATTGAGAGAGAAAATGAAACGGCAAAGTGGTAAAAAAATACAAAAGCCAGCGTTGTGGTGGTGCACGCCGGTAGGATTTACTCCAGAGGCAGAGGCAGGCGGATTTCAAAAGAGAAACCCTGTCTCAGAGAAAAATAAATTAAAATAAATAAAGTAATAATATATAAATAAATAAGCCACGTAAAGATGGAAAATACACAGGGAGTCTGGATACTGTATACTATTGTGTTTTTCAGTTTTTTCATTGCTAAGGAAAGAACAGCTACTAAAGTACACTTGATTATAAATGCTGCTAAATTAATCCAACTTCTATCTTTTGAAAATGCCTTGACTTCAAAATTTAAGTATAAGGATATGTTACTCAGAAAAGGAGTTTTTGCTTATGTTTCTACAGAAAATGAAAAGCTGAGGATTCCTTCCAGGCTTCTGTGGTTCGACGAACCAAGACCCCCAGAAGCAGTGGACAAGGTGTTCCAACAATTGAGACAGTTAAGATGATGCAGCTTTACAGACCCCGAAAATATGGACTTATACAGGTTTCTGAGTTTTGTCATGATCCCCATGGTAAAAACAGCGCCCCCTTCCAGCAGGAAGCAGTTTGGAATGAGCGACGTCCCAATTCCCATCTTGTTTATAAATCTTTGTTTTCATTTAAATGGGATTGTATATAATTGGTTAATTATCACAACCAATCTCTTTTAATGGTAAAAAGGGGAATTATGGTATGGGTATGGTTTTTCATTTATTGATACAAATTCAAGGTCAATTTTGTGATGCTTATATTTCTCCTCTTGATTAAGTATTGTGCTTATACTGATCTTTTAAAATGTAATGCATAATTGAATACAGATTATAGATAGTTACTTATAATAGTCAGAACTTATAATTAGGTAAGTTAGGTTTTCTAGATATACAGAAATATATTTGACATAGACAGTCTTCAAACCTTTCAAAGACCTTCAGAAAATGGCATTTAAAATGGTTTAGGGTTTTTCTTGACAATGAGAAATGTCTGCTCCTGGCAGCACCAATTATGTCTGAGAGGAAGATGG